CACACACACACACACACACACACATACAATCAGTTTTATGTCTGTCAGTCTTTCTTCTGTTGTTCGTCTTCCCTCTGATTTTTTCTAAGTTTTTGTGTGCCCAATTGAGCACCCTTAAGAAGTGCCAAAGAGTCGGCAGTTCCTCATTTGTAGTGCCTATTGCACTCTTATGGGGGCCGCTCAGTTCGGGATGTCTGTGTTGCCTGTCGGTGATGACGGATGCTCGTCAGAGTGACTCCCTGGCTCAGTCGGTGGTGGGAACCAGCAGTCCGCGAGGTTCAATCGTGATGTGAGTAGGTCATGTGTTGCTTTGCTCCGTGTTGGACGTATGGACGGCCTCGTCTGCGCTCCGCCGCTGCCCTGCTGCCTGTCCCGCTTACTTCACATGTGGTTCTTTGTAGGTTGATCTGTTCGCTGTGCGGTGTGGCCGTGTTGTTGGTGTTGCCTTGTGCTTCGCTGCTCCGCTGCCTTGCTACCCTTCCGCTGGCCGTGCCTTCCGTGTTTGCTGCTTGCAGGCCTCGTTGGTCGGTTGCCTTGTTGCGGGTGCCTTGTGCTTCACTGCACGGTTGCCGAGTTGCTGGTCTGCTCGCCCTGTCGTCCCTTGCAATGGGGTTGCCTTGTGTTTCACTACACGGTTGCCGTGCTGCATGTCCTGTGTGCCATGTCATTCCTTAGTCATTTTTTGGCGTTGTGCAGCCGTTTTGCCTCTACTGCGTTCCCTGGTGCTCCACAGAGTTGCTGCCCGCTACCATGTTCCGCTTGGGGACAGTCTGCCTTCAACAAGGGTCAAAGGGTTCATGACCCAAACCATCAAATACGAAGATTCTGCAGATTGTCGAGGGTTCAGCCTCCTGATTAGTCTGTGCAACTCCGACAAAACAAATCTTTCATCATCTTTTTATTTATTTTTTTCAGTCTTTGCCTTGTGTTTTTTTCGAATGTTATTTTTGCATTGTCGTCGTTTATCTTGCTATTGTTTCCCTTGCTGCCTTACGCTGTTTGCTTGCCCATCCGTCTACTCCATGCCATTCACCTAGTGTGCTTTGTTGTTTTTTCATGTTTGCCTGCCCACCCGCCCCCATGCCATTCACCTAGTGTGCTTTGTTGTTTTTTCATGTTTGCCTGCCCACCCGCCTCCCCCATTCCCTCCAGCCTATCTGCTTTGCTGCCTTATGTTGTTTGCTTTGCGGCATGCTGTCTGTCCCCCAACCCACCTTCCCCTTGCCCTCCAGCCTTCGCCCTTTGTTGATGCCGCATGTCTTTTTCCCTCACTGTCTTTTTTCTGCCTTCCCCTAGTTGCTGCGTATTGTTTGTTTCAGCTCACAGCTTAGTGCCCTAGGGCTCCAGTCCTCGTGTCTTTTTAGGGAAGTCGGCGAGGTCGTGCATACCCAGTCAAATGGAATATTCGCTTGGATCAGGGTGTAATTCGTTCGATGCTGTGATGTCTGTTATATTGTGTCTTATATAAACGCGGCTCACTGCATCGCAAGGTGCAGTGGACTCTTCTCACCAAACACACACACACACACACACACACACACACACACATATGGCAGTGTATATTTCCATGTTCTAAGGGTAAATTCATTCGATTTTGCTCATCCTATCCATGGAAGTACCATGAGGCCAGCC